ACAACAACAACAACAACAACAACAACAACAACAACAACAACAACAACAACAACAACAACAACAACAACAACAACAACAACAACAACAACAACAACCACCATTTACTAGCAATTCTATTATAACCTCCTTGGGTTGGATGTTGCTGACTGGTTTCATCTCACTGAACTATCCGGATACTAGTAGTATTTACTATCTATCTACCCCAAGAATACTAATGATGGGGGTCAGCACAAATTATTACTGTGGAGACTCACCGTTTAATTGCTTTTCTCCCTTTCGCACGTTCTGTCGGACATGATCTTAATTAAATACTTCCGAGCAAGGCAGCACCATTTCTTTTGGCCCGATGCGATCGTGGGAAGGTTCGGGAACTTTTTTCTTCCTGCTTCCTTTCTTTCCTCCTTCTCTGATCATCACCATCATCATCATCACCATCAGTCAGCCTTGAGTACCATGGATGCAAGACCCAAGGGTCCAATTCCCACGGCAGGATGACATTGGGGGCCCAAGGAAGGGGGAGGGGGGTCACTTGGTGCAACCTGCATGACCTAATTTAGTAACCAGTAAAACAAGTTGACCAACTAATGGTATCTATTGTTGATGATGAGAAGGAAGATTGATGATTGTTGGCACGTTCTGAAGTGCCTGCCTGCCTGCCTGCAGTGACAAGGGTGGTTGGGGGGGAAAAGAAGTTTCTTGACCAGCCTTGCAGCTTCATGCAGGTACATTCCCTTTCACTTCTGTCTGTCCCTCCCCTTCTCGGTCGCGCGACTCATGTCAAACAGATGACGGTTTCGCGTAGGATTCGGGGAGTAAGTGCGCAAGAAGAGTCGTAGCTATCACAATCGGTCACTCATCGATTTATTGGAAGACATTCAATGGTCGTCAGCACAGATGTTAATTAGATGGTGTAGTGTACTAACTAACTAAATAACTAACGAGGTGGTGGTCGCTCCTTCCCAATTCTTCCCATCGCCGCCTCCTCCTTTTTCGCTCCTTCCATTCTCTACTCTCATCACTCTCACTCTCACTCACTCTCTCCCTTCCTTCTTCTTCCTCCCTTCCCCTCCTCCTCCTCCTTCTTTCTTATCCAAAACGTGCTGTGCACTACTGTTTCCCTCTACTTCTTCGTTTTACGTTCGTTCTCTTTTTGTTGTTGTATCCTTCCCTCCCCCTCGGTTCACTGAACTCTCCACCAGGGGAAAAAAAAAGGGTGAGTTTCTCGGCTGCCCTTCCTAGTGCTGGTCTAAGCTGCCCGCCGGCGTTTCACCCTCCACCCCCAATCCAAATCCCTCCTCGCCCTCTCTCTCTCCTGATGCTCTCGTCCCTCCTTCTCCCATCCCATCCCATCCCATCCCCTCCGTTCGCTGGCTTTTCGCTTCCTTCTCTGCCTGACTCGGTCTGGCTTTTGCCCTCCTTCCTCGCCCTTCTCTTTCCTTTCCTTCTTTTTCACGTTTGCTGCCGATTTGATATCGTGCACTCCGTCCATCGCTTTCTCTTCGCAAACACCCCCCCTAAAGCCTAACTTTCCCAATTGACACGCTCTTTGCCAGGTCGTCGTTCGTTTTTCACCCACTCAACGTTTAGCCCCATCTTTCCCCAAGCAGATCGATCTTCTGGATTTCCATATCTATCATCGCCTCTCTGTGCTTTACCGGGACAATTTCCTTCAAATATCGACCTCTCACTCGCTTTCGAATCATACGTTCCCCAATCGCAACTCCGACCCGCGATCATCGCCGCCCCCCGGTTGCTCTCTGCACCTGAGAACACGACCCTCTACCGTGTCGATCATGCGATAGTGCTCCGGCAGTCATTCTTCATCCTTTCTCCGTCCTGACGCCTGCGTGCTGAACCCCTCGGACGGCTGGTTGTTTCCTGATCGTCTTCGGCTGGTACATTCGAAGAACTTTTCCTTTTCGCCCTTCTCCCACACATTCGACATGCTTGTTCCGAAACCTCTTGTGGATCTGGAGGGTCACTGCTCCGCTGTATACAACAACACTCTCTACACCTACTCCGCCAATGGCTTCATGTCGATACCCCTCGCGCGCAATGGAAATTGGACCTCATTGACCATGGGTGAGGCCGTCTCAGACGCAGCGTGTGTGATAGGTGGCACAGACGGCGATGAGACCAAGCAATCTCTCTATGTCATTGGCGGATCCGGCTCCTCAAGTCAGCCGGGCTTGCAGCGATACTCGTTTAAAGACACGACGTGGACCACCATTCAACCCCCGCAATCGGTCATGGGGAACCGTACTCACCACAAGGCCGTCTACCTGTCGAATTCTTCCTCAATTCTGGTCTATGGTGGCCACCAGACCGACGAAACGGTTGCATCTTCTGACACATACGTTTTAAGCACCGTATCTCCGTACTCTATTGCGGCCCACAATGCGACGGAAGCGTCACCGGCCGTCAACCCTGTTCTGTTGCCATGGAATGATCGCGAGGCAGCGTTGGTTGGCGGTACCACAACCCCGAAGAAAGTGCACCTATTCAACCCGAATGCGGGCTGGTATGGATCCAACGTGACTCTGTCCCAATCGCTGTCCAGTGGCGTGCAGTGCGCAATTCTCGAAGGATCCGACGGAAGTAAGGTGTTGGAGGAGTTTGACATGGACGTTGCGCCCAACACGGTATCAAGCGTGGTGTTGGTGAATGCGTCTGGGAAGGAGCAGAACCCTGCTACCGCCATCAGCTCATCCTCGTCACGCAAACGGAGGAGAGAGATCACCCTCAGCAGCTACCCGACATACGATAGTAGCCTAGCGCAGTCCACAACACGGCAGAACTACTCCCTAGCTCAAGGGGAGGATGGCCTAGTAGTGATCTCTAGTGGCAGTGGTACGGACTCCTTGGCTATCTTCAACCAAACCTCCAACAGCTGGGTGAACGCGACGAAATTGTTCTACGGTGACGAGAGCCGGCAGCAGATTCTCGGGTCAACCACAACGGCGGCATCTACATCCACAGCAACGTCGACCTCCAGCGCATCCTCCAGCGCCGGCGGCGGCTCGTCCAGCAACGATGTCGGGACCATAGTCGGCGCCACCCTGGGAGCGATCCTGGGTGTCGCGGCCATCCTGGTGATCATTCTCCTCCTGATCAAGCGCAAGAAGCAGAACCTGAAGAAAGCTCGAGGCGAAAGCGACAAAGATCGCCTCAGCTTCCAGGACCAGGGTGTGGAGCCGTTGGCCCAGTCAGCGTACCCCATGGCTAAGAGCCCAGTACCGCTTGCCGCTTCCTCGGTAGATTCGCTTGCAATCTTCTCGGGCAAGGTGGGTGATGAGAAGACCCCAAGGCCGGCTGGTGCCCGCCCTACCTTTGCACAGAACTCGACTCCGCTGAAGTCGAGTCCTCTGACGACCATTCATTCCACCGGAGAACCCTCGTCACCCAGTGTGTACTCGAGTGCTGCCTTTGACAAAGAGATTGAGGCCCAGAGCTCTACCTCGGGGGGTCGGCCAGGTGACCGGAGGACCAATGAAGGGTGGAGTCGCTACTTCCAGGACAACAGTGCAACAAGCTTGGTTGGAATGCAATCACAATCTCTTCAGCCCCCACCATCTGGTGCATCGTCTGCCAAGCCGCAGCCGAAAGGCGCTGCATGGCAGATGAAGACTCTCACACCCCTGGATTTTGGATTCTTGGATGAGCCCAAACCTCTAGGACAGGTAATAAGTGGTAGCCCCACAACAGAGCATGCCTCGTCTATCATCTCCTCTGAGGGTCGTCCTGTGGCAATCCAAGAGAGTCAGTCAGCTCGTATTTCTAGCGCCTCGTCGATGAGCGCCGAGCTGGATGGTGACGGGCCCTGGCAACAGCGTAGCTGGGCGGACCGGCCTCCCAGCAGTACCTACAGCAGAAGCTTCTACAACCCCAGCACCCATGTGCCTTCAATAGCAGTGCCATCCGAAAGTGACTATCGAACACTCGACCCATCTCGCACCAACACACGCGGTTCAAGCGTTGTTATACCCGAAGAAGTGGAACCGATGCCGCCACGCCATCCTACCAACGTCAACTCAGACATGAGTTGGCTGAACTTGAATGCCGATCGATGAGCGCTCCCTAGCATCTTCTAGACCGACACATGACTATCATTCTCCCCGCAACGTCGCCTCTGGACCCTTTCACCCTCATTTATCCTCATTGATCCTTGCGCCATCACCCACGGCTCTGACCTGATTCCTTCATTGCATTAGCTTGGCTCCTCCATGGTTCTCCTCAGAAGATGCATTCCGTAAAAGTTTCGCTCCCTCCACCTCGTTGGGATGTACAGCTAGCTGCGCTTGACCGTTTCCTTACCTCCATCGTTCCCACATGTTCTCTGCCAGGTTTACTCCTGTCTAATGGGTGCCTGCACCCCTGCTTGACCGCTCTGCTCATCAACGTATTTGTTGCATCTGTTTCGCTTCCATCCTGCTGGCAAAAGAATCGAGCGTTCTGTTCCCTCTCTCTCTCCGTTGCTGCGCCTTTCCGTCTGTTTCTGTTCGTGCTAGGACACATTCTTCTCCTTACTCGCCTGCCATCGTCATCTTGCATGTAGTAGTACTACTGGCTCGTTTTGGTTCTGCGCTTGCTTGCTTGCTTGCTTGATTGATTGATCAATGATCCAAATTCCTGGTTGTTCTGTTGACGATTCCTGCCCCCATCTATTTAGCAGGTGTGTCTGCTTGTTGTTTTCTTTTTGAGATATCATACCCGGTGTTGTGCTGTCTTGACTTGTCGTCTTTTAACCCATGTGTTGTGTACGTGTGTGGGTGTGTGTGTGTGTGTGTCTTGTAAATATCTTGTCCGTTGCTGCGCAAAGGGGATGGTCTATGGCCCCCACGTTGAGAGTTCTATGTGCATGCCTGCATGTCCGCATGCCCTGAATGGATTATGCCGTTCATTTTACTGTTCGCTCCTCAAGTAAACCCTGTATACGTACCAAGCCATAAAATCTCGAAACTGTATTGCAACACTATCTGTAAGCTACAATAAAGTATCGGAAATATCGATTATACCGAAAGAGAAATAGGTGAATAATCAACAAAAAGAAACAAGCATATGACGACAAGCAAGCAGTGTACGTATACAACATCAGTAATCAACTGACAGGCGTCAAAACATTCAATAAGCGTCATCAATCTGCATAAGAATAACAGAAAACAAGGTCTTGCGTCAAAGGAAAAGTCATCAATCATTAATCATTATCATAGCACATGTCTGCAACTGAATATCGCTCGGTTTTTCTTTCATACTTTTTCTTTCATTCTAAGCATATTGTGCGACAGGCGTTCTGGACGATCGTCCTACAGACCGAGATCGAATATCGGTTGTTGACCCATACTCCGATGGATGATGCTCCTCAATCTCGTCAGGGTATATGGTCCGCGGCGGTCGAGTCGTCGTCGGCCCTTGGCTCTGAACACGGCGGTGTCGGCGCTCTCGTCGTTTGTCGCAGTTTTTGGCAAATTCATGTCGCTCGCGGCGGGCTTCCTCCACATGTTTCCATTCTCCGATTGCACCCTTAATCCCCAGGGCGGCCAGGCCGACGCTGGCTACATCGCCAAGCTGGCCCTTGATCCGAAGACGACGGGCTTCCTCCGGGGAGAGCTCACCCTCGCGAACTAGCTCCGCTCGTTTTTTGTGTTTTTCCATACTTTCGTGCAGACTATGTGCGGCGTGGATGGTGGCCACCGCGGCCAGACCGGATTTCACTAGGGTTTTCCGGGTAAGTTTTTTCCGTTGGTGTTCTTCATCGGTACTGCTTCCCAGGTCAGAATCAGACTCCTCGGATTGTCCGTCTCCATGGGGGTTGTTGACACGACCATGACCAGCTTCGCCGATTCCTTTGGATGTGGTGCGCGTGGACGGTCGTGTCGAAGTGCTGACAGTGGATAAAGGTCGACTCACATCTCTAGAGTGCCTGGAGCGTCGTGGGCTGCGATGGCGCCGGGGTTCGTCCTCACTCGAGAGCTCGTCATCCGAATAGACGTCGCGACGAGACGAGCGGCCGCCATGAGCTCTCCTGTCACGGCTGTCCTTTTGTCCTAGGCCTAGAGCTTCCATTCCCTGGTTGATATAGTCGGTGACGCTCTTGCTCCGTTTGCGAGGGCGACGGTCGTCGTAGCTATCCCGAGAGCTGGACCGGCCGCGGCCTCGGCTTCGACTCCGAGGGCGAGACTTGGACCGGAAGCGATCATAGGCCTCCTTGCCGGCTGCGGCCAGGGCCCCTGTGGCAACCAGATTCTTAAGCCCGCCCTGGCTTTGCGAGCGACCCCGGCCACGAGACCTCGACCGGGATCTTGATCCGTTGATGAAATGGTTGGCAGCCAGACCCGCCAGGGTGGATTCGACGACATGGCGCTTGGAATGTTTCTTCGGGTCTCGGTCCACAAGACCATCGGTACCGCCAGCCGTAATCGCAGCTGTAAGGATGCGCTTGCCCTTTTCACCTGTCCACTCGCCAGGGTCTTTGCGAACACGGAAGGCCTCTATAGCACCTGCAGCCAGAGCCGCTCTAACAGCCTGGGCAATGCGCTGCTCACTCTTCTCCCGTCGGTGGCGGCTTCTGTCGCGGGTGGGTGAGGGCGAGTAGGAGTAAGACCTACGATCCCGGGTATGCGAGCGGCCACGATCATGTTCGCGATGGTGGGATCCAGATGACGCGAGCGAGCCCAGACCTAACGCACCCAAGGCCTGCTCGGAGATGGACTTGCGACGTCGTCTAGGGGGAGAGCGACTATCGGATGGAGAGCGGGAGTATCTGGGGCGTTCACCTAGAAAACGTATGTCAGCATACAACTTACTTTCAGTAGCTTCGTATTCAGTGGCGTGCTATCTGTCCGAGCACTGTCCGAGACATGAGATACATACGTCGGTCATCATGTCGCCTCGAATGGCGGTGGGATCGACGGTGGTAGTCCGAGTCATCGTAATGGGAATCACGATAGCCCATGGAATGGGATCTGCGCACCCCCTCCGAAAGGGTGGAGACACGGGACGGTCTGGCCTGAGGGGGGATGCCGTAGCCGTATTCGTAACCATAATCGCCAGGCGGGTAGTCGCGCGGAGGGGCATCGTAGGAATCAACGCTGCCATCGCGACGACGGACGACATCCGTTTGGTGACGAGCGGAGCCATGAGGAGGGGCGGCATAGTAGTAGTCAGGATTGTAGCCGCCGGGGGGCCGGGCGTACTGACGGCTTTCGTAGTGGGTCATTGTTGTCCGGGTTTAAGGGACTGTTGAGAAGTTGAAGATCTAGATGGGGATGATCATTAGATGGATGAGGCAAGTGGTGTTATGGAAAGAAATTGATGAAAGCTGGATGAGGATGGATGGAAGAAGAAGAAGTAGAAGAAGAAGAGAAGAGATGGTGCGAGGTGGAAAGGAAAGAAAGTAGGGAAGGGAAGAAGTAAAAATGGCAGTGGCGACTGGGGAAGGAAAGAGCGAGACAGCGGGGCAAGCGCCCGTGACGTAGGGGCAGATGCATCCATTTAAGGCAGGTACGAAACAGTTACAATTCACGATTCGCTATTGTTTGTGCAGCCTCGCCTTCAATTCATTGGTGACAGGAGAGTCCCGCTGGTGTTTCGGGGCACCCGCCCACTGAAACCCGTTATGTCGGATGATGACATCTGTGGATGGAAAGTGGATATTCGTGATTGAGTAGATTAATGTGGATGGATATTGTACCTCGCACAATATCCTGTCATAACATCAACATCAACTTCGACATCCTAGAAAAATTCAAGGGTCCAGACAAAAAACATCACCACCGCATCCTTCCCTCACTGACATCATTCCCCACCCGCGATGACTCAGCCCCTTCCCGACTGGACCGATGCAGTTGGAGAATCATTAGACCTAAATTGTTTTAATAGGTATCAGTAGGTCCTGAACTGTCTAGAAATAATTGATGTGTTAATTCTGCTGATCATCGACAGTAGTGGTGACATTCAGGAACATGGCTTATACCCCACAGACTGATAATATGGCTGGCTTCTCAACCATGGAAGTCTCAACCGTGGAAATCAGAGATAAGGTTCAGTCATCCCCAGGCTCCTCTTTCGGAACAACAAGCTAGGAGTATACGGACTCCTAAATATATATGATATTGCTTTCACTTACGAAGTGGCCTAAAACCTCTTGCGCACATTCATACCGAGGTGACTGATTCAAATGAAGTTGATTACATAATCTATTGCCATATAGAAAGATGATGATCTATATGATACTCTATAGAAGATGAATAAGTTTCAACCTATTGCGTGGGAACAATCTACATCCAAGAATATGGCAAGGCTGAAAATCTCGATCATCTGACACAATTATCGTCACCTGACCGGGACATTACTCAATAACAGTTGCCCCAATCCTACTATGCATGTCCTCATCTTTGTGACTGACAATATCGTAGCTACTATATAAGTATCAATCACATCTCACCATATACTAATAGCTGATCTGGATTATAGAGTTGTTAGAAACCCTGCCACTACAGTGATGACAGACACCGAAGTCGATATTATTTGAAGTGCCACATACATTTCGAGGAGTGTCTCGCGTAAACAAGAAAATATCAAGCAAGGCAAAGAAAACAATGTTGCTTGGTAATAGCCAAGAGCAGACATGTACAAGGCTCCACTAGCACGATATACAGGCAGCCATGTTAGGGAATTGACGATAACAATCCAAATGAGCATTGTATACTTTGATCACATTGGCAAGGGGGGCCATCTCGGGGAGGGGACAGTCATATTGAGCAGTCTAACCACCGCTTGTCAATATCTGATAGATGGAATGGCGAGAGATAACGTTGTTTTCGATACAGGCCCTGCAAAGGTAGCTATAACTACGAACGTAAGACTATTGATCTACGAAAAATTTCTGATTCACACAGCATCTCCATACATCACCAGATATAACCACTATCTACCAAGCTATGAAGAACCTTGGGGAAGATCCATGTATTCAAGTGACTATTACACTACTACATCTACTACTAGTCTTCTAAACAGAGACCAGTATCTTTAGTGAGTCATTGATACCGACTGATAGCGATACTGAATACCCCCACGACCACTAGCTTCTGCAACTCCATGCCTAAATGGCTATCTTTTAAAGTGACCTCCTCCGGCCAAAGCTCACAACAACAATGTCAACAGAACTCTCCGAGTTCGTTTTCAATATAGGTCCTACAAAAAGGAAAGTAGTCCAACTAAGCGGATCACGAAGTTAGAAGAATATATACACTCTCGAACAAGTCTATTATGTGACTCTGTGGCTGCACTTTGCAATGGCGATGAATACCTAATTCAAAATCGAGACACTGTACACCTACCAACTACGTAGTATCTCACCAACTACATATTAACCATTGCTAATAAGTATACCCTCTAGAGCAAAGCCCGCAAGAAAACATGCTACTATTCGACTCGATCATCAACAGTCCTTGGATATCCCAGAAGCTTATTATCCTCTTTCTAAACAACTTCGCTGTATTCGAGAAAAGAATATCTGTGTTATTGCTTTCAGTACACTTCCCGAATAATGATGATTCGGATACAAACATACATCCTGCTGCGAGCTTCTTCGATCAGCAGTACCACCGGAGACTTAACAGGACGCCGGAGCGTCGGATATACACAGAGTATACTAACAAACGCCATTAATACAGTATCAATGCGGGAGACGTTGGAGTCTGTCCATGATATTATGTTTCAGTCGATTAAGGTGAGTACTTGCTTTTAAAGAGTATATGTCAGAAGGTCAGTGGCCGAATGATAAGAAAATTCTCATAACTCACCATGAGGTTTTAGGGATGTCTAGGCTGGTCGAGTTCTTATACTGATTGGATCTTGCATACCCTCCGATTGATCTACCGTCTACAAGACTTATCTCTGCTATTCTACTATTTTCAATGCTGCTTTATAGCCATTCAGCTAAAGCCCCAGTACTCACAGGTAGCTGGCTAGCTACTATAGATGACGTAATGCTATATAAGGTTTAATGTTTACACTGTGTTGTTTTCGCACGAGATGATAATACAATAAATAATGTTTAGCAGGCAGTCATGATTAATTACGAACCTTTGCTAGCACAAAAAGCCAACACTGATTGAAGAGTGAAAGAGTTAACTTGAATATGGTATGGTATGGCACCTCCGGGCTGGTTCTTGATCTATACTACCTGCCTGGGCCTTTCCCGTCCCGCACGATCCGTGGCTCAGTTACTATCTTATTAGTTATATTCTAACTGTTCAACTATCCGTCTACATGGTATGTATTGATAGTGTTGCGTATATGGTTTGAAAGTGTTTCTGGGGATTGATTTATGGATGATAATATATTAGGTACCTTAACGCGCTTCCTGGTCTAAAAGTAAGTGTGCCCTCTCCATCCATGGCATCGTCATTTCGTTTCGTATGAAGAGGACAGTTCTACCAATGGACACAAAACGTACAAAGTCATAAGGAATATAAGTTGTGAAGAGTTCTCATCTTGATCATATTGATCTGGGATTATCCCAAGGACAGGTACTAATGCCTATCCATCACATCCCACTCGCTCTCGTACTAGCTTCTCTATTGTACATTTCAGAAATCCAAATTCGGCCGTCGCTCCCAAATAATAGGATCAGTAACAAAAGGTATTCGTGGCATACAACAATAAAACACATCACACAGACCGACCAAGCACACATACACGCTGACAAAAACTTCAAAAATGACAGATGCAAAAATAATAACTTCAAATGCAATGGGGGGAATCCAGTCCAATTATGGGACAAAAGCAACAAAAGGACAAATGCAGACCCAGAGATGGAAAATAAAATAACGAAAAGGAAAAAGAAGGAACGATTTCCTTCAGAGAAGCCGGTTACAGCTTTCGCTGTCCGGTTCCCGCTCAGTGGAAACCGTTCTATGCCGCATCTGACCGTCGATTTTCAGACGGCAGATTGAAGAGAAAATCACAGTGACACCAAAAGAGTGCCGCTCAGCAGCCACTCTTTGCGCCGATCGAGGGCGCTTTTTTTTAAGTTCCTGTATAACGCCGTTGCTCCGATGGGACACGCATTGTCCCGCCATGGGGAAAAGATGAAGAGTAGGAATAAAGGATGGCCAGAGAATGTAAATAGGTAAACATCATCCCGTGGTAATCTTTTTGATCATGCTCCGTTCATGTCTTGGCTCACTCGTCATACGCGTGAGGACATCGGTTCATACGCCCGACTCGTGGAGATTGGGTTCAGCTTCGAACCACTATCGTACGAAGAAGCGTCCATCTGCGTTCCGCTGATAGAGCGCTGGTGGTCATAAACCGATGTGTTGCTCCTCCGGGTCGACCAGCTGCTACTGCCATCACTGTCCCGATCCGTCGTCATGGCTGTGGGCATATCCTCTGAGTGGGTGCGGTGCGTGCGAATGTGCTGCTTCATGTTGTCTTTCCGGGTGAATGCCTTGTTGCAGATGGGGCAGTGGACGCTCTTCTCCCCTGTGTGCTTCTTCCCGTGACGGGCGGCATGGCCGGATGTCGTAAAAGTCGCAGAGCAGCCGTGGCTGGCAGCAAAAGGACAAGGGTACTTGTTCTTGCGGACACCGGATTTGGCAGCCATAGATTCCTTGGTACTGCCGATAGAAGGCTGGGGCGACGGAGGCTCAGTAACAGAGCTGCCGCTGATGCGCTTTTCGGAGATAGTGCGATAGGAATTCGTGTCCTGGCGGCCAAGGTGGTAGTGAGATCGAACGCTGGTGCTGCTCATGTAGTCGTAGGAGCAGTCCGAGGAGCCGGGAGAGGTGGGCTGCACGGGTTCGGGCACGGGGTCAAACGGGAGCCGTGCCAGGCCAGGTGATACTGAGGGAGAATTCACATAGGCATGGTGGTAGCGAAACTCTGGAGCCGGGATCGACTGTTGGGGTGCGTAGTGGTAGGGATAAGGCGAAGTGGCTTGATGTCTAGATAGCCCGGGGGCGGAGCGAACTGTGAAGGCCGGGTTGTCGTCATTGTTCAAGATCGACACAAAACTTGCTTTGCAGCTCGCCATCTTCACACTGATATAATACTAATCTGCTGGGAATTTCGTTAGTTAATTCCTCGGTTCTAGTCTAACTCCGCACTGTGCTGCCCTTTCCCTCACCGAGACGGAATGAGAAACCAGACGAGAGAATGCAAGCATCTGCAGCCCCGTCGACCAGGCGAAAAGGTAGAAAAGGTAGGGAGAAAGAGGAGCAAGAAGGAAAAGCCAGAGATTAAGTACTCACCAAGGATCTTCGAGAATGTTTGCCTGTTCAATTTCGTGTAACACTATAAAGCGGATTTCGAATAGACGGTGTTTGGGCAAGGACTCGACAGAGAACTCTGGGAGTCACCAGTCCGACTTTCCCTCAAGTGGAGGAAAGTATTCAACAAATTTCCCGTCGATCTGATCAAGAAGATCCGAGAATCCGACTTTCAACCCACTAAGAGGCCGTCGAGGTAGGACCCGCAGACGATGGGGATCAAGCGAATGAGATGACAATTGCAAACTGGCCCAGTGAGATTGCAGGGACCAGCAAAAGCAAGCACTTTTTCTTTTCTTCTCCTTTCTTTTTCTTTGAATTCTTGGCTCTCGAATCACAAGCAGGAATCCGGATAGCAATCTTCCACAGAAGTATAAAGTCGGAAAGTAAGACACAATTCGAGTGAAGAATGAAGTTTAGTGATGGTTGGGAGAGGATGGTGGATGAGAAGAGACAGAGGTCGGATGGGGTGGAAGATCGGGGAGGAGAGTAGTAGATAACTAAATAGATAATAGATAGGGTAGATCGGGGATCGGAGGAGAGCAGTGCAAGTATGACAGCAGGGACCCGAACGACAGACCAAGCTTTTGAGGCTAGAAGCGAGGGAGGGGGGGATGTGGGTGAGAAGGAAGGAAGAGAAGGAATGGAAGGAATCGGATCAGATGGCAAATAGGATTTGACTGGAATATATTAGAAAGTCAAGAAAAGGAGGGAATTGGAAGAGTAAAAAATAAAAGAAAAAAAAGTGATCGAATGGGAAGGGCAAAGCAAGAATATTAAAAAGCGACAGGAGAGGCAAAGGTGACGAACAAGCCCGTACGTTGCCAGACCCGGCGGACTAAGAAAGAAGCATCTTGAAACCCGTCCAGGGTCCCTCCCGAAGCTCTGGCCATCTGGAAAGTCAGTTGAGTTAGTTCGCTAGTGGGTAAGTTCACCGTGGACTGGGAGGGCGAGTCCACGACGCTAGTTCGCCGAAGTGGAGCTGAAAATAGGCATCATCATTCATGGTATTATTGTGTTCTCTGGCCGAGTATCAGGTTCGTTCGTGGGCCTCCCAAAAGATAAAACAAAAAAAATAAAAAAGAGAGGACTAAAAATGCTGCCAGCGCGAGGACTTTCATACTGGATCAGCAACGCAAGACCCTAACCTGACCGGAAGGAACCACAGGGTCTATGCCAATAACATCTACGTATCTCCTGTTACTGCTGAGTATATTACCTGCATCTTAAGTAGTTGGTTATCTCAGTGGTAATTCTTCACCCATCCCTACTGTAGATGATAGTCAATTCTCAGATGCGCACTTCCTCTCTACGCCAGTGTTAAATTCTTTCCCACCCATCCGTTTTTTTCCCCTCCCATCTTCCACGCTTAATACCATCGCCACAAATCAGAAATAAAAAAAAAGACAAAGCTTTCAACCGAGAAGATCAGATCAGACCAGGAGTAAAGCCGAAGTACATCCTTCATTCGGCACTAGTGGCCTCCTGCCCTTAGTCAGGCTGGAACCCCGTACCAAAGGTTCCTCAGGCTCGCTCGGCCGTCTCGCAGAACCAGAACCACGAGTAGCCACGCGGATCACTAACTTCGCCCTGTCATTGTAATTTTGGAATTACCCTTTTTTGCATAACAATTCTGAATGGCACTTTTCTTTTTGACTTCTTCAACAAAGGGAACCTGACGACTCCATTCAGGGCCCCAATGGCCCCTCTCTGCCCTTTTCCCACCGGTCATCGTTCTAACCGACTAGATCCCTGACTGGTACGTGTCCCTGTCGTCAGCTGGATGGGCGGAGAGAAAGAAAAAAAAATGAAAGGACAGATAAATAGAGCCGTTATTGGTAGTGCATCGGGGTTAAATAACAATTGGCTATAATATATTATATCTTGAATAGATGACAAGTAGAAACCATTCGCAATATTAATCAAAGACTCCCCCAAAGCAAATGGTAATTTAGAAAAATAAAAACAAAAGAAAATGAAAAGAAAACTAACGTACAGGGAAAAAAAATAAAAAGATCAATTTGACTAATCGGAATTAGTCTGGTCCGGTCGCAGGAGGGCAAAGTCCCTTAGACTGGGGGGTTTGCTGCCTCTCCCCACCAATGAAAAGGGCCAGAACCATCCCCGACTCCGTATTATCCTTCCATTCCTGACGCTAATCAAAGATGCATACATAGACTTTCCAGGGTTCCCGAACAAACAAGAAGAGGTAGACTGTCTACTCGTCAATTTGCTGAAGTTCATACTCGGTAATATGACATACATGTCGTAATTTTCTATCTCGGTCCAGCTACAATGACATGACTGTTTCGAAAGTCAATGCAATATCGGCATTGAAACGTTGTTGACTATCTAAACGGTTGACGCATTATTCTTCGCAGAGACCCATTCTATACTTAACTTTCAATAGGCTAGCAACTATTCCCCGACAAGAAAGGGAAAGAAAAAAATTACTACTGCCTCCTGTACCTGAACAGTGGACTAGGACAGAACAGATCAAGCAGCGCCGCGCGCCAGGACGCCTCGCTCGTGCGGCCATGCAAAAAACGATGATGATCCCTACTGGGAAGGGTAAAGTGGCCCCTGGCCGCATCCCCAGAAGAGGCTTACGGACAAGCTTTTAGCCACGGTGTGATGGAATCCATGGACTGGGGGCTGAACTGAGCCATGATTGGGCCTATGGGAGGGTGTGTGTGGTTATTTTCCTGACGCTAGTAGTAACGATACCGACATGGGATTACTCCGTAGATACAAGAGAGGAGAATGAGGGGCGGCAACTCACTTTCCCTTTTTTTTATTTTTAATTTTTTTTTTCACTCTTCCTCTCGCTCCTCATGACTTTCCCCTGGCCGAAGATGGATCGGAACCGTTGGAGAAGCGCGCTTCGCATATACTAACTATACACTATGTAAGATTGATTCGCGTAGTGGCGATGCGGGAATACGAGTCCCTTCTTTTTTGCCTCAGATCATACCCCGTTTCGGGCATCTTTGTCCGACTGGATTCGGCCGTAAGCTCTCAGTAGGTGCTTCGTGAGACTCGGAGTTGTGACAACCAGGGGCTGCGTGTGAGGGTGTCGGAGGTAATCTACAAAGTAGGTATGTATGTACTGTGGGGTGAGAAGAAAGGGCCGAGGGGTCCGGTTTATGGTGTGTTTTTTCTCACCCTTTAGCCTGATCTCTTTGTCCATCAAAAGCTTCCCTGTGCAATCTGGGACTGATGTGCGACACGTATCAATTGGCCCGTCCCTTTTTTTCCATTCCACTAGCACTCTGTACCAAGCTTTCAAGCATCTCCTTTGAGGAGTGGTTAGATTCACGAGCATCCACATTCCACCGGCCAAACAACTCAACCCGACGTTCTGGAAAACAGAACACCGTAGTCCCACTCGGACCCGACCCGAAATAGCTTCGATTCCAATAGCACAGAAAAGAACTAGTATTTCCCCCGGGGCCTTACCAATAATAGGAAACTAACAGCGACAGACACGACAAAATTATCTCTTCATCACAAACGCCTCGTTGTCGCAGGTTTCGTCTATGAATAGAATGGAGCAGTTACATACTATGGTAGATGTGCAGCTGCCAGCAGTTCATCATCATCATTGATTCTTTCGGTGTACTGTGGTACGGGGTACAGTAAGCAGCATGATATCACCACCACCACCATGACTTCATATCACCCAACAAACCCTAATCCTGCTCCTATAGCAAAGGCAATGAACGAAATCTTTTCCGGAACCAGGGGGCAAAAAGAGGGTCGGCACACGGGGGATAAAATTTTACCAATCAAGATGGAGAT